CAGCCAGCAGTGTGGGCACCACGGGAAGTGGGGTGACTCACAGGCCTGCTGTCCCACCCTAGCTATAGAAGAGCTGCATGGACCTGGTGATGCCTGCAGGGACGCTGGGGCCTGAGCTGAGCTGCAGAGCGAAGCACCAACATCAGAGGGAGTCGGGGATCTCTGAGCCATGGGCAGAGCCCCTTGAAGGAGTAGGTACAGGCTGACTCCCACCGGTAGGAGGGAAAGGAGAAAGGGCTGGCAATGAGGGGAGGGCACAGGAGTGGAGCTGCCAGGTCAGATACGAGTGGGTGGCAGGTAAAGGACCTACCAGATCACCAGGAAGCTACGTGGACGACATGCAGGCCAAGAGAAAGGTGGGCATCATAACAGCTTGTCCTCACCAGAGAACACCGGGCACAGGGTACTGGGCTGTAACTTACTGAGTGTGCACACAAGCTAGGGCTAAATGGTGACCACATGGGGGAATATAGCAGAAGGCCCAAGGGCTAGGAGGAAAGCTGGAAGGCGGGCCAAGTGGGCAGGAGCACAGAGGCAGAGCCACACGAGCAGCTACCTGACATGCCCAGCCCTGAAGAACATACGCCAGCCAGAGTGGACAGGTGCTTGGTCCAGGGGGCCCTGCCTCGGAGCATTCACAGCTCCCACTCGTGATCCAGGAGTCACGGTCCCAACCACCCTCACCCTTTCCCTGGTGGATTCATGTCCATCACTCCTCTTTAGGACCATGGTCACCTTCCTCCAGGATTATTGCTGCTCCCTCCTCACTCGACTCCCTCTACAGGGGCTGTACACTCAAGTCCAAAGTCTCCCCCCAAAAATCTTCAAGGCCCTAAGGGCCGGACGGAACTCCACTCATCTCCAACCACATCTCCCCTCCTTCATTCTGCTGGCCACATGGGCCTTCCCGCAGCTCCTGGATGTGCTCCATGCTCCCTCTCATCCACTTACATTCTGTGCCAGGCAAGCCCTCTCCATCACTTCCTCCCACCCCTCCCTGCTTAGTTTCAGCTCCTCCTTCAGATCTCAGGGGACTGTCACCTCCTCAGGGAAGTCTTCCTGACCCTTCAGTCTAGGCCAGATTACTCTACTGTAGATCTCATACTCACCCAGCCGAGTCCTTCATATGTTCATTGTAGCCTAGACTCACACAGGCACCGTGTGTTTGTTTAGTAATAGTGTTGCAGGCAGAGTCTGAATCAGTGAGGGATGAATGTGAGGGAATTTCTGGCCCACAAACTACAAAACCCACGAGGGCAAGGACCACTCTTAGTTTTGCTCATCTTGTGTCCCCAGAGCCTGGCACAATGACAGACACCTAATCCATGTGCAGTAAATGTTCACTGATGGCAGAATGAAGAAGATGGACAGCGGCTCTGACACTGGGAGTGTGGGACGCAGGGTCATTTGGCTTCAGGTTTCAATGTTGACAACTCTCATTTAGTTCAAGTAAATGTCATTGCCAGGGGCAGCTCTGGCCATGTCTTGGCAGGGACAGGGTGCCTTGTCCTCAGTCACTAGCAGCAAGAAGCACTGATCGCCCAGCAATGCCTGGCGTTCCAGGTGGGAAGTGGGAATGCTGAGACCCAGGTCACTGGCCTGGGAGGGCAGCTGTGTCTGCCAGCCCCAGCACCTTGCCTACATACAGACACTCAGACTTCCTGAAAGACGGCTTTTGAGATGGAATCAGGGTTGCTTGTGGGTGTCAGCCCACCTGAATGCAGGCCTCCTCATGCTGTCAGTGGCGGAGGCTGCATTTACAGCCAGCAGGTGCAGGCAGCTCCAGATCACAAATGACAGGTAGTTATGTACAGGGTTAAAGTCACAACTTTTTCCCACGACCAATTTGTAAGTCTCATCTGCTGCCACAGTGATTTGCTGACGGGTCACACAGCCTCCAGCCAGGAAAGAATGAGATGGCGTCTCCTGTGTCCTTTGCCCCCTGAGCTAACGCAGCTCTGGCCCCTGGCTGGCTGAGCCCAGGGGTTTCCTCTGCTTTGGGGCAGCCTTTTCCCAGGAGGGAAGGAACACAGCTGCTCTGGAGCCAGGCAAGTCCTGGCCATGACTCCAAAGACAGTGCCAGGGAGCCTACCGTCACCACACTGTCACCACACAGGCTGCCTTCCCAGCAAACTTCCGCGGGCTCTAGGACACCATTGCCATAGACACATCCAGAAAACCATCCTCACCCTTTTTAAAAAATTTTCTTGCTGTCCCTCCACAGGGCCACACTGCTCTCCCTGGGCCAGTACTTCATAAATCTACTGTTGGTAACTCAGTACCTTCTGACTGGCTAAAAGGCTAGGCACTTGTTCCCCACAGCGTTTACTGACTCTAATTGCCAAGGCTGTTCATTAAAAAGATGCCATAAACTTGTGTCCACTTTCCTGCCCACTGGTTCCCTCCCTGTTCCACATGTCTCCGGCGTGGCTGCTACACGATGGAGAAAGCAGGAAGTGCAGCCGGTGAGGGAAGACAAATGTCCCAGACTCCAGGCCGGGCAGGAGATGGGGCACCACACCCTCCCCTGCCAGCCCCACAGGACTCCAGAGCTCACCTCCGGTGCCTCCAACCAGACACATCAGCAAACAACGATAAAAGCTCTAAGTGACCATCTCTTCGATCCACAAAACCACAAAAAGCCTATGAGGCCCCTGCTGGCTCAGAGTTGGAGTAAAGAGCAGAGAAGCAACCTGCATGACGCTTTCAATCAGGAGAATCTGACTTCTCTCCTGTCAACTGAACTGAGAGTACATTCTGAGATGAGCCCACCAGGCCTACTTTCCCAACAACCATGCAGCAAAAACGTCTTTGCCGAACTTTCCCAGACTTATTAGCTTACATAAACAGAGCTGTGAATAAATGTTTAAAAAATGAAATTCCCTTGATACTCTGTAATCAGTAAATGTTCATTACGGAAACACAGCAAATATGCCTGAAATTTCCCAAGTGGGATCCTGGCTACGAGATTAAAAAGGCATCTCCGACAGCAGGCTGAGTTACAAAGCAACCTCCTCCGGCCACAGTCCAGGAAACCTCCACCAAACCCAGGAGGTCAGACAGGCGCTCCTCTCCCGGCCGGAGCCAGAATCAGAAGATGCTTCTTTTGCCCATGCAGGCAGCTTACACAGGAGCCCCACACTGGCTGATTGATGTCTCTCTATAAATAATTAATCCTTGACCTTGCTTTAAGAAAGCCCCGACTTTTTAATTTGGGGTCTTTTTAGAAATCAATACCTGGGGAACATAATTCACTCTTTGGAGTCTGAATCCAGGTAAATAAATCATCTGTATGTCCCAGAATGAACAGGCCAGGCGATGGGATGGGGTCAGACTTTGAGGTTTTCTGTGTTCAAATGCTATAGAATTATTGATCACCCTATGAAGCTCCGTCTCTTCAGATCTGAATTTTATCTCTCATGTGGGTCACTTCACAGAGGCAAATCTGATGAAGGCTCTGCCATGTGCTTCCATTCCCCGCCCCCGCCCCCAGCGCTCCCAGGCCCTCCCCTGCCACATATCATGGGCTGTATGGATTAAAAGAGGGAGGCATCCTTCAAGGACCAGAGTGTCACCCGTTCCTGTGGCCTGTCTGCCTTGCCTTGTTGACAGGGATAGAGGGTGAGCAGGAGAGGCCATGGCCGCTGAGAAATTTGAAAGAGAACTCTGCCACTCCTGCTGTTAGTTGTAGGGCAGGACTTAGAAAAAGTTTTCCACCCCAGAGCAAGGGTCAAGGCGAACTCAGATGTGAAAGTTTACCCAAAGAAAGGGGGCTTGGGTGTGCAGCTTGTAAGCACCCCAGGGATGCGGACCAGGGTAACCCTCTGCCACTGCCCCTCCCCCGGTGCAGTCCAGAGGAGGTCCCTTTATTCAACCGCTTCCGCTCTGCTGCTGGGGGTAAATCCCGGCCAAGCAGACATAGTGGGCTTCGGTGCCCATTCCCCTTATGATAGCCAGTCTCGGCTCAGGGGGGCGGCCCAAGGAAGGGGGTCGGTCCACTGTGAAACCAGAGACTTCCGCGGGACAGGGAGTCTTCTCGGTCAGGTCAGACAGCCGGGCAGCCAGTGTCCACAGCCGAGGGCGCTGTGCGGCTGCTGCATCAGCTCTGGGTCAGGGTCGCAGGGCCTGAAGACCAGCCTAAGTTGGCACGGGGGCAGTCTGGCGCCGGGGAAAAGAGAGGGGTCACTTCCGACCCAAGCGACAGCACTGGCACCGCTGAACCCCGCAAAGGCGCCTTCGCCTGGCCCGGCCGGCCTCCGCGAGGCCAGAGCTGGTGTGCAGAACTCGAAGCCAGCAGCTGGAGTTGCAGCCACGGCCAGAGCTCGGCTGGGTCCCGCGTCAAAGCGGGTTTTTCACCGCCCACCAAGCCGCCCGAGACTCCGACTCCCGCACTCTGCACACATGCACGCACACACCTCCACCGATCACTGACGCACACACTCGCCTCGAGTACAAAACAGGCCGGCGCCCAGGAGAGTCGCGGGGTGGGGACGCGCGCGATGGAGCTGCAGGGCACCTTCCGCCGCTGGGTAGGAAGCGAGGCAACCTCTAACTCCTCCCTCGCCCCGCTCGCCACAACCCGCCCTAGAGTCCCAGTCCCCAGCGCGCGGGAAAGCCCGGGGCGCTCCGGCCGGGCCCTCTCGAAGTCAGACGCTGCCTCCCCGCGCCCAGCACCAGGGCTGGGACCGGGAGCAGAGGATCCGTAGGGACCCAGGAAGCCCGAGAGGCGCGGCCGCAAGTGAAATCCAAGAAGCAAAAGTCTAATTAAAGTTCCCACTACTGGAGCGGGTTCCCACTACCGGGGTCCCCAAAGTGCTGCCAGACCAGAACCGAGCGCGCACCCTATTTCCGCCCAAGGCTTCGGACTCACGCTCGCGGGGCTCGCGGGGCTGGGGCGCAGTGCAGTTCTGGGCCCCCTCGGGACCCTTTAGGGCGCCCCTCCCAGCCAGGAGCCTGCACAGGGCGGAGAAAGGGGTGGCGCAGGGGCGCAGCGCACTTACCTGTCGCAGCCGGCACTCGCGGGGTCGCGGGCGCTTCCAGCCCCGGCGCGGTCCTCCGCGGCGAATCCTCGGCTCTGGGGCGCCGGGGGAGCAAGGAGGACCTCCGCCCCAGCTCTGCGAGGGCCCTGCGCCTCCTCGCGCTCGCAGCGGAACTGCGTGCGGTGGGTGAAGCGAGCGACGTGGGGCCGGCGACCCGAGCGCCCAGGAGAGGGAGAGGGCGCGGTGGCGTGTTCCTCCTCCGCCCTGGTCCAGGTCTGTCCCCCGCCTCCCGCCTCCCGCCGCTGCCTTCTCCTCTCTCCTCCCCACAGCAACGCGGGATGCGGCTCGCGCGCCGGGAAGGCTCCCAGCGAAGTGCTAGCGAAGCCTTCGGCAGGGCTGGAAATAGCGCCGCGCCCGCCTGGCGCCCCACCCCCGGCCTGGGCCCCGCCCCGAAGTGGTAGCAGCAGCGGCGGTGGCCCCGCCGGGAGGGGATCACTCCTGGGATCCGCTGGCCGCTCCCGGGAGCTCACCGGTGCCGCACCCACGCGCGCTCTGCGGCTCCCGCGGCCCCACAGGCTGAGCGCTGCGAAGGAGCCGCCGCTGGGCGCGGCCCGGCGGCCGCGGGGGTGAAGGTAGTCGTGGGCCGCCCGTGTCTCCTGGGTTTCCTGAGAGCTGGACTCCCGGCTGTCACTTGGCTCCAGACCGCGGCCAGAGTGCTGCCACTGCCTCTGTGGATCGCACGCTCCCGCCGACTCGGGAAAAGAGCAAGGCGCCGCCAGAGCAGGCCGTGACACAGCTGGGCAGGGGTGCGCGCCCAGGACCCACGCTTCGGGGCGCGGGGCTAGCAAAACGCAGAGGATTGCACCGAGGAAGATTCTGAGAAATCCAGCTTCCGTGCAATTCGGTCAAGGTCTTGGGCGGCCCGCTCGGTGTCCACACCGATGCCCAAATTCCTGGGGCTCTGATTCAACTGCAAATGCTCCCTGACCCAGACTCCACCTTGAGGGCTACCTCCTTGAAGCCCTTGTTTGGTCCGGGGCCTGAGAGCTGGGAGGGTCGTGGGTGAGTTCAACCGGGCTCAAGCGACTCCTCCCCATACACTACCCCCCACCACAGAGTGAGCACGTGCCAGGTCCACAGCACACAGCACCAGCGCAGGGATGTGAAGGGGGCTTGGGGCTCTGATTCCAGGTTTTGTTCTTCCTGTGAAGAGGTAGCCCCACCGGCAGGGAGCAAGCCAGTCCCAGGAAGGAGGCTGGCAGGCTTCTCCCAGGAACCACATAAAGCTGCGTAAATCAGTCTTGAAGGGCCACCTGGTATTTTTAAAAACCTGCAAAGAAACCTGTAATAAAATAAGTTAAAGGATGCTCCCCCTCCTCTCATTTTATCTGCTGCTGGTTTGGCCTGGCGACTCCATGCAGCTGACCCCGAGTATAGGATGAAGTTGGGGGCTGGGGTGGACTCTCAGAGCTTGAAAGGCCAGAGAAGATGGGGCTGGGGCCGCCCTGACAGAGCAGAGCCCCTCCTGAGGAAGGCTCAGGCGCTCCAGCACTAGGGCTCTGTTAGGCACCCAGCCTCTGCCCCAGGCAGCTCCAAGGCCTCCTGCATGCCCCGGGTAAGTCCAGAGCTCTCAGAGATAGAGCAGGAAAGGTGAGCTAGCAAACTGAAGTATATACCAGTGATAGCATGGCTCTTCCTTAATTCCTGCAGCAACGCAGTAGGCATTATCAGTACTGTTGTACAGATGAGGAAAGTGAGGTATGAAAATGCAGAGCCAGGATTGGGCTGCTGATTCCAAAGTGACATAGGGTCAGTGCTGGGGTCTCCCTGAGCTCAGAAACTATGCCAGACCCAGGGCACTGGCCCAGCCACACTCCACTGGCTGTGTGTTACTCGTGTGTGTGGTGGGGGGGGGGGCACATGTGTATGGCTGAAATCACTACTCCAGCTCAGTCAGGTGCAGATTGGGTGAGCAAAATGTAAGGGACAAGGACTCAAATGTCAGGAACGACAGGATAGAGGAATCCCTATCCAACGCACATCCCCAAACTGTTAAAGCAAAGGTCGGGGTGTGCGTTAAAGTGAGCAGAAAGCTACTTGCCGAGTGCGCTGTCTCTGCTCCTGCCCCTGCTCCTGCCCCTGCTCCTGCCCCTGCTCCTGCCCCTGTGTCCTCTTGTCCCCACACCTGCAGCCCCCTCACCACCCATGGCCAGGGCCACTGGTTGGCTGAGCAGCTCTTCCGTACCGTGCACACTGCCTTGGGCCAATTCTCTCTCTTTCTTTCTCTCTCTTTCTCTTCCTATTCCCTGGGGCCAGCCCTGAGCCAGGAGGAAGCTCTGCACCACAAGTGCTTCCACAGGACGAGTCTACACCGGCTTCGCCCAGACCACCATCTCTGCTGCCTGTGCATCTGCATGCAGTGATCCTCCTGGGAAGGACAGTTTTCCATTAGCTTCTCCAACTGTACTTATTAGCACCTATTTGCATCTAATATTCAGGCAGCCGCCTCTAGGAATCAACAATGCTGCATTCCTTCAGCATCTGCTGCTTTTCGTTTTTCACTCAGACTGCTTCTTGTTTTGATAGGCCCCCGGGGAAATCCCCAAAGGGGGACCCAAGGCCGATGACACCACCGTTCACTGAGTTTCTCCTCAGGATCTGCCCAGGGCTGCATGCCCTTCTTTTGAAAGTCAGGCTCGGCCTCTGCAGCAGGGGAGGCGGTGCCCGCGTGCAGGTTTGATATGTGCGCTCCCAATGAAAGATTAGTGGCAAACTTGTCCCTTTGCATCCCAACTAAGATGAAAAGCTATTTTCATTGGCTGGCCTCATCAGTTCACAACCCACACCACAGAAGAGGTCACAGAGATGTTCAGAAGGCACTCTGTCTGCTGCCAAAGGGGTGGGCCTGGAGGAGGGGGCCTGACCAGGCTTGGAGGTGGGCAGCAGGCAAACAACCTCCTCCCCTGGCTCTGGGCCCCTGGCATTTCTTGGAACAAAGGTTCCCACTCGCTATTGGGCAGGGAGCTGAAGGCAGCCCAGTAGGGAAGCACCTTGTTTGATGAAGGGCAGGTAAAGCAGGTGCAGGGCTGAGGCCTGAGTCCTACCCCTTCCATTCTGTTGCCGTGAGAAGAACCAGCACAGTGTTCTCAGGAGGAAGTGGGAGCCATCTGGAGTGGCGGGTCTGGGAACACCTGTCTTCCTGTATCCTGTGGGAGAAAGAGAAGAGTAGGATGGACCAGGGGTCTGTTTTAGCTCTTCTAGCTGCTGGATGGGCAGTCTTGAGCATATTTTCCTAACTCTTCCCACCCTGTTTCCTTATTTGGAAAGTGAGGGCAATAGACTCTTCCTACTCACACAGTAGGGACACTCAGATAAGGTGAAGGGTATGAAAGCATTTTGGAAAGTGGAATCCCCACCTCCTCTGGCTTATAGATCAGCCACCTCAGTGTAGGTGTCAAGCATCTGGCCCTGCACTGGCTCTGAAATATTATGACCAGAAGTCTTCCCTGGGAACAGAGCTGCCTTCCCCAGCTGCCTCCGCTGTGGCCCTGGTGTGGGATGGTGGGCAGGAAGGGAAGTGCAGCCCAGGCTCTCAGGCCCCCTCCAGGCCTGAATTGTGAGTCCATGATTCCTGAAAATCCCTCACCTTGAAAGAAGGCCCAGGGCTTCCCTTGGTCACCTGGGGACTTAATGAATGAACATCCCTTCCATGCCCTTTTCCTATTCTCTTTAAGACCCCTCTCCTTTTTTGTTACCCCTTGGTTTCCAAGGAGCTGGAGAAAATGGGTTGCTTTGTTTTTTTCTGTGTTGAGTTGCCTGAAATGTCCTGGAGTCAGCATTCCCATGTGAGTGAGAGTCCCTATAGTAGTAATACTGCTGGGGGTTCCAGGCACCCCAACATCCCATATACTTGTTATAATTTCTGAAATTCCACCATCATCCCTCAGGGCATAAGAATAGTTCCTGTTTAAAGAGCAGGTCTCCAGGCAGGCTAAGATGATGCCAGTGTCTGTCCTTAGCACAGACAAGAGTTGGTGAACAGATTCAGTTTTCTGGGTAACACAATAGAAAGTGACCGTGGCTAACTTTAGCAAAAAGGGAGAGACTTCTTGAAAAGACACTGGGGGGATCTCACAGGGCAGAGGGGAGCTGAGCATCCAGGAGGACAGAGGGCTAGAAGACTCTTGGGGTCTCCAGGAAGGTCACCCTCTCCCCCAACCAAGATGAGCAGGTCTGCAGATGGGCCTTTGTTGACCCCAGAGTCCCAAAGGAGCCAGGCCCAAGTCCAGTTCAGCCCATCCATGTAAATTGGGCTCAGAGCCAGCCTGGTTTCTCTGTTGGGGTCTTGCCAAGCTCAAGTTCATTTTGTTGCTTCTTAATTAAAAAAAAAAATCACTCTGGGCTGGTCGCTCCTTCAGTTCCCACGAATCCTTGAGCCTGATCACCTCCAGCGCCCTGCCCCTGTAGGGAGAGGACACTGTGCAAGGACCCTGAGCAGAAACAATATTTTTCTTTTTACTTTGGGCTAAAGATTTTCAAATTCTAGAATATTTATATGTCACAATTCAGTAAATGTCATTTACTTTGGACCAAACTAATTCAACATTCATGTCATGCACGGCCAGGCTGAAGTTTACTCTTCGCTGTCAGTCAAAGATAGTGGGAAGTAGGCTGCGGGGTCGTGTCTTCCGCCTTGGAGAGTAAATGGGGTTTGACTCCTCTCGCCTTTGTGCTGTTTCTGTGCATCTGTCTGCATCCAGACACAAAGTGAGCTCATTAGCAACAGTTCTCTCTGGTCCATCAGATTTGCTTGGCTGACCTTTTTTGGCTATATGTTGTTAGTCATTAACTGAGGTGACCATTAAAATGAGGAAATCACTGTATGACATAAATAAGTGGCACTTCTTTTTAAATGCTCCCTAATTAGGAGAGCTTGCTGATTCTCTAGGAGTCGCTTTGGCTGAGCCCCGATTGACAGGACTCAGCCTCCTTTCATGTGCCTGCCAGGCGGTGGCTCCCAGAGCAGAGTGCATGGGTATGTCAGCGTCACCCAGGACCCTGGGGGTCTGAGAGGGACAGTGGGGTCTCTGAGAGCAGGATCTCTCCGGCACCAGGAGCCCAGCGTGCGTGTTCAGAACGCCTCCGCCCTTACCAAGGGCTATAAAGCAGTTCATCGCTTTCCATCATGTGGTAGGAAAGTGGGGTGTAAGTATCTTCTGAGTTCCTGAGATAGCTAAAAGCATTTTAAAAAAGCAAACATGGATGCTATTCTAAATGTAATGCTTAGTATTAAGAATCAGGTTTGGAGATTCTGAAAGGAAAGAAAGGATTGCTTTAAACTGAA